TCTAGACTTGGAAGTGGGAAGCGTGCACGCTGCCATGGTTTTTTACTTTAATCCAGTGGTAGCTCATGGGGTGTCCTGGTGGTAAAGTGTGGGGTGTCCCGGCAGGGGCGCGTGGGATGTCCCTGCGGCAGTGTGTTTGAGTTTAAACATGGTTTGCATCTGGCTGTTTTCTATCTCGGTGCACTCAGAACAGGTGCACTGTCCTGTCCTTGGCTCTGCTCTGACCACAGGGAGAGCTCCTCAGAGGCGGGGAGGGCCTCCCGTTTCTCTGAAGGGCCTGGGTTGGGGCTGACACCCTGTGGGCTCCAGAAATGTTTCCCAAGGGGTCAATGGGAGGGCGCTGAGAACACTTTACCTAACTCTACAGGGACAGCAGCATCCGAAAGGGAGCGCAGGGTTATTTTAAAAAGGAGGCTTTTCTGGGGATACAGTGTCTAATTTGTTTGGTTTCGTTTGGGTTGCTTTCCTTTTCTACTGAGTGAACCTCTAAAGCTCTTAATGGCTGTTAGGCCAATGAATGCAATGCTGGGAGAGCCAGGAGAATAGCTTAGCTCTCGTGGGTGTCAGTCTGAATGGCGGGTGCCAGGCTCTGGTGTTGGGTGCCAGTCTCTGGGATTCGGTGGGAGTGTGAAGAACTCAGCTGTGAGCACAACTACCCTCTGGTCTCAGCTCTGTGTGGCTGAGGCGTGAGGACCAGGCTGGCCCTGGCAGTGGTTTGAACGTGGCCCTGAGTGAGGAGGAGGGCACTCTCCCTGCCACACGGGAGCTGCCCTCAGTGCCCGTCACCCGGCATTGCTACCTGATTGTGCAGGAAGCCAGTGAGGCACAGGGTGGCCTGGCCTACCTCACCTAGTGGTGGGTACCCGCTGGGCTTCAGTGCAGGCCGTCTCCCTGACCAGGCACGGGTGCGGCAGGGCCACGGAACTCGAGGCGGCGGCAGTAGGCGGTGTGGGGCAGCGGGTGTTTGTGATGTTCGCTCGGGGACGTGGGCTCCATGTATTCCATTCCCACCAGGACCATGCCTTGTTCGGGGTTCGCTGCATCCCTTACTTCTAACCTTTCTCACTGGTGTCATTATTCCAAGTTGAAGGTCAAACAAACGGAGACTCTGAGGGGTGAATCGGGCGAAGGCAGCAGTAGGGATGAAGGGACATATGTTCACATCCGGTGTGCTTTGCTCCCAGCCCTGCTTACATCGCTGTGCGTGGCTCTTCACCCAGAGGTGCGGGTGTCCGGTCTGCTGCTTTCGGGGGTGCTGAGCCTGGACTCCCAGCCGCGTTGCCCAGTCCTGGAGTGGAGGGAGGTCCCTAGCCCGCCTCCCTACATCTAGGTGGGCCGGTGCGAAGTGGAAATGGCGCCTGGAGCCGATTTCCTGGCCAATGCCCCCTGGCAGGCCACCCTCCCTTGTCAGCCAGCTCAGTGAGTGTTTACAATCCGGGGACTCTCGTTAAGCACCCCATGAGCACCTGGTTCTGCACCAGGAAGTCCTGAGGGTGCGCAGAGTGAGGGCGCTGGCCGGGCTGAGGCTGCTCCCCTTCCTCCTGGGCCGCTTCCTGTCTCCTCGTGGCTTAGTTGTACCAGTTATAAAACGGAGATAAGGGTATAATTTAAAACCAGGGCTGCCTCCTGGCTCCTCTGCCATCCTCCCTTCTCCATCCCTGCTCGGGCCCAGCGCCTGGCTCGGCTCGGCCTCCCCATCGCAGAGCCGCTCCCTCAGGCTCTGGCCCGCCCATCCCGCAGGGAGGCGGAGGCTCAGCTTCTTGCAGACAGGGAAGCGGCTGTGGAGTGGGAGGTGGCGTCTTTCCCCCCAGGAGGATGTTTGTGCTTTAAAGCTGATGCTCTCCGTCCCCCTCCAGGCGGGGAAGGCTGAGGGTTACTGCAGGCGCCCCCCTCCCTCCCCCCTCCCGGCGGGGAAGGCTGAGGGTTACTGCAGGTGCTAAAGTCCCCGCTCCGGAGCCTCTCACAGAGGGAGTCCACATCCCAGGAGGCTGCGCAGTGGATGCCCCATGTCCCTTTGGAAGACACTGAGGATGGATGGGAGCCTGCCAGCCTGCCAGCTGCGGGGAGGGACCAGGAGGTCTGCCTTGTGCCGCTCGCCAGTCCCCAGTCCCGCCCGCTGACACCCAGCCTGGTTCCCCTTGGTTCCCGGTGGGCCATCCAGCATAGGAGCCTGGAGGGGGGAGGGGGGAGCGGGAAGGGGGGGACCTAGTGGTGCTCCATGCAGTTCCCAGTGTCCGGGTGCCCGGTCTGGAAGAGACGGCCCTAGGCCATTATTAGCACAGATCTTTATGGACAAAGAGGTCTTGGGCTCCAGCTTAGGAGCCAAGACAACATTTCCCCCAAGTCCGTGTAGCTTCTGGGCTCCGATTTCCATCTCAGTCCTCACTGCCTGCTCAGCTCCACGGTGGGACCCTATCAGCACAGGAAAAACCAAGGAGCACTGCATCTCCAGATTACTTCTACCTACTTATCACAGAAACCCAACAAAGGCGATTTTTACATGAACCCATTTCTGCTGACTTCAAATTGTGGGTACGTGACTTGAATATTGCCCTTTCCTCTGAATATTGCCCCAGCCTCTCTTCAATCTCATCCTGACACTCCAGAACACACAGCCACCCTTCGCTCCACCCTGCCCAGGCCCTGCCCGCCGTGGTTCTGTGCTGGAGCTTTGCGAGTCCCTCAGTACAATTCAGATTTCTGCATCAGTCAGAAGCCTCAGGAAATGCTTTATAGAAGGATTTACAGGCACTTATTGCCTACATTAATCTGCCTGCAAATGCCACTCTAAATACCCCAGATTCTTTACCACTTATATCTCTGTTCTCCAAAAAATACTAAAAAGTGAAAGTGAATTCAGGAGTGTCGATTTCATCTATAAAATACTTATACTGAAATATCATTTGATGATTTAATAAAAATATGAAAGCACTTTATAGAACATTACATATTTTTTTAAGAAGCTCATCTATCAACTCATACCAATGCCAAATGTTAAGTGTCTCTACCCCTTTTCTCCTAATTTCCTCCTCTGGCATCGTGTTCTGGTCCCAAGTACGCAATAATGACTGCTTAATCCACAACTGCCACAGGAGGACCAGCTATGCTATCACTGAGATTCAGGGAGTACTGAATGTGTCCTACGGGCTGCTCACCTCAGGCTTTGACCATTCGTTCACCATTAATCACTCACGGCCTTTTCTACCCTTCTTCCTACAAGAGTAGCAGTGACAGCAACAAGCATTCAGTAAGTACCGATTTACATATACTCCTTTTCACAGTTACATGAGTATCCCACTTTAAAACAGGATTCCTGAGGCTGAGGGGAGGAATGAGGATGCCCACAGCCTTGGAACCCAGCTTCTCACCTGTCTCACCAGCATCTACTGGACATCCCCATATGCCTGGAGGAAAACAAGGACACCACAATCTGTCTCCATCACGTCTGCCTTAACTAAAGTAAAGTAATACATGGTACCAAGTGTATCTCCTTCCAACACCCCAAGTCTCCCTCTCCAAGAGTAACCCTAAATTACATCCAATCATTTCACTCTCCAGATTCAAAAACTTTTCATAAATTAAGTCATCAAGTCAAATAGTTGCCCTCTGCAGGTACAAGAGTGAAGGTGACAGGTGAGACCCTGGCTCCCCCAAAGTTGAAATAATTAGGCGGGGAAGTAGGTGTGAGAATTCAAGGTAGGTGGCATGATGTTGGCCTAGCGGACTGATACAGATGAAGACCCCGAGAAGTGACAGTGAAACCTAGATCTCAGATACTGGAATAGCTCAAGGATAGCCAGTCTGGGAGAGAGCTCTAGGCCCACAGCCAGTGCAGAGGCCCTAGGACTGGAGCCAATGTGACACATTCCAGGCAGGAATGAAGCCAGGGCCTGGTGAGTGAGGGACAGAGGGCAATGGAGTCAGACTCTGGGGAAGAAGGTGGGCAGTTGGGCGTTTGTTGAAGTAAGATGGGAAAGTAGGGACCAATTCATTTTTAAAGGTTACTCTGACTGCAGGAAAGAATATGAATAAAGGCAGGGGTGAGGGAAAGCAACAGGAGAGTGAACCCTGTTCCATAAGGAGGCCTCTGTGACAACCACAGTCCCAACAGGAAAATGAACCAGCAGAGGATATGGCCTGTCTCCAGTGCCCCCACTTCTTTGATCCTGCAGCATCAGGACCATCCATATTCACTTGTCCATCACCCAACCATAGAGACAGCCATCGACAGCTAGCACTTGACTTTTATCTCTGTGCCCAAATTACATAGCACACAGTACTAACGCTGTGCTTGAAGGAGCAAATGAACATAAAGGACAAGGATTAGGGACATTTTCAACCCTGGGATCGATCTTCTGAAACCTTCTTAATCCTCTGACAGTGTCAGGAACATGCCATCTCTTGTATATGCCGTGAGCACACTGGAACAACTATCAGCAGCATAATTGCTCACAGCTTTCCTGCTCTGCACCCCAGGAAAGGCAATCTGACTCTGGAGGAGACTATTACTTTACAACCTCTCAGGAGACAGTCACTGCCAACAGGCTTCAAGCAAACAGCTTATAACTGTGTTTATTGCCCAATTTTAAATCTCTGAGTTAAATTTGGTCCTTTGGGGGGGGAAAAAAGAGGAAATGAAAAGACAACAAAAAAGGACACACACACATCCATGCATTTGTGAAAGCATGTGGCTTTCTATATCCTCAACATACTCTGCAAGAGGAACCTAAGGGACACAGAGACTCAGTATCACCGCCATCTGCAACCTTGGTGCTCATGGCCCTACTTTTCTCCTCCCCTTCCCTAAGTCTGGGTTTCCTCTTGCTCCTCAGTGCTTTCAGGGATTACTACTGAGTCTGCCCAGGAAGCTCAGCTACATTTATTTATAAAACTGCAGAGATCCCCTCTCAATAGAAGCCTATAAGGTTATCAGGTAAATATTTAAATTTCCTTGGTTACCGCATGATCAACATCCATAATAAAGACCTTGATTTACTTACCTAAGTAGTGTGGTGGGTGAAATGCCACAGGCTTACTAGTCGCTGAATAATATCCAATTGCTCTCTTAAATCGAATAACTTTGTCATCTGTTCTAGACTAAAATAAACATAGAAAACCTGTGTAAATTAGCATGCCATAGGTCATGTGTTTCAACATATTTTTATAATTAAGTACACGTATAAAATATCTGTAGCCTTGCCGAAACCGGTTTGGCTCAGTGGATAGAGCGTCGGCCTCCGGACGAAAGGTCCCAGGTTCGATTCCGGTCAAGGGCATGTACCTTGGTTGCAGGCACATCCCCATTAGGGGGTTTGCAAGAGGCAGCTGATGGATGTCTCTCCCTCATTGATGTTTCTAACTCTCTATCCCTCTCTCTTCCTCTCTGTAAAAGATCAATAAAATATATTTAAAAAAAAATATATATATATATATATATATAGATATATCTGTAGCCTTCCAAGCTAGATTGAGAGTTTAGAACAACATTAAAATCTCCAAGGAAAATCAAGACAGCAAGGCAGGTAACACAGAACCTGAAGCAGCAGTGGGAGCCCTGGGCTCTGCTATGGAGCCCTCAACTTCTTGGCCAAGTCCCTGGTGCTGCCAGAAATTTTACTTTCCATGTCCAGCAAGTAGGACAGATGTTTTAGATCTTCAGGGAGCAGAGAGAAGTCACACAAACTTCAACTCTTTTACTAACCCCGATGCCTCAAATTCTTTACTTCCCACAAAAGGAAGACAAAACCCCTGACCATCACCTAAAGGGAAGGACAAATCAGAGATTCACAATTCCACTTAACCCACTGGATATGACTGCCTTCTTAGTAGAAATCCTACCACGTTATAATGGAGACTCTAGGAGCAACAGAGACCTCAACACTCATCTCCCTTAATCCCTCTTCAGTGCGGGCCGGAGGAGCCAGCTGGGAGGGCTGGCACGGAGGCCTGACAGCTGGGCAAGTGCTCCTGGACACTCCGGTGTGTGCTTCTCAAGCCCCTGCCACACCTGGCGCACGCCACTGTGCAAAGCGCTGCCCGGAGCCTCATTTCTACCTGAGAGTGCTGGAAAACGTCTTTAGCTATGGCATCCAAGTCCGAGGTGTCCTGGATGTTGCGGACATAGTCAGCCACAGCCTTGATCACCACGTCACATGGCGGCAAGACCAGCTGGTGGGCCCGGACCTGAGAAAACAAGCACAAATGTCAATAGCCTAATTCCAAACACAGGGTCCAGAAACTCCAGGTGTTGTTTCCTTCCAAGGACCCAATTATTACCAATCTGTGAACACTTGGCCACAAGACTCTGGTACTCTGAGGTTCAAGCCTTGGGTCTCCCTTATAGACAGTTATTGAAAAGCAGCCCGGTTAGGTTCAGCAGTATCAGACAGCCTTTCATTACTTCTGAGACCAGGTCTATGACGTGCTCATGATCAGCTCCAGGCTTGAGACCCTGAGCCCCCTAATAGCCAGCCATGAGAAGGCCTGAGCCAAAGATGCTTCCCTTCGTTCGATGCCAGCCAGCAGGAGGCTGTGCCAGGCAACAATCCCACCGGCCCAAGTCCACTGCAGAAAGACAAGGGAGGAAGCCAGTATCCCTCCCTGCTGAGGGACATATCTGATAAAAGACTTTTGGAATAAAGTATAGGAGTGTTTTATTGTCTGAGAATAGTTGATATCAGGAAAAGGTAAGTAAACAGAGATATAATTACACCCTTTTGTTATTCTCAGGAACAAAGATGAAACAGGTACTAACTTTATTTCCAGAAATTAAAAAAAAAATTGAATGATAGCATGAAATTATGTCTTTATTTCCCATTTCATCATGAAGAGCATAAAAACAAAGAAGAGGCAAAAGGATCTAAAGGCTTTGGGCCTAATCCAAGAGGAAGGAACACTTGCAAACTCTTTGATGAGGCCAGAATTATCCTAACTGCAAAACCAGATAAAGACACTATAAAGAAAGAGAATTACAGGCCAATATCCCTGATGATCATAGATGCTAAAATCCTCAACAAAGTATTAGCATCCAGCAATATATTAAAAAAAATCATACACCACGATCAAGTGGGAGTTATTCCTGGGGATGCAAAGCTGGTACATTATTCACAAGTCAACAAATGTGATACATCACATGAACAAACTGAAAAACAAAAATCACATGATCATATTAATAGATGCAGAAAAGGCATTTGATAAAATGCAACACCTATTTTTGATAAAAATTCTTAGCAAAGTGGGAATTGAGGGAGCATATCTACACATGATAAAGGCCATATATGACAAACCCACAGCCAACATCATACTCAATGGGCAAAAACTAAAAGCATTTCCCCCAAGAACAGGAACAAGACAGTGATGATTTGTTCATACCTAAAAGCATTTCCACTCTGACCAAACTTATTCAACACAGTACTAGAAGTCCTAGCCACAGCAATCAGACAGGAAGAAATAAAAGGCATCCAAATTAGAAAGGAGGAAGTAAAACTCTCATTATTCACAGATGACATGATATTGTACATAGAAAACCCTAAAGACTCCACCAAAAAGCTACTAAATTTAATAAATGAATTTAGCAATGTAGCAGGATACAAAATCAACACCCAAAAATCAATGGCTTTTTTATACAACTAGAGGTTTAGTAACCGGTGAAGTCCCTCAGCTTGGGCTGCAGGGATCGGTGAAGCCAGCTCTCTGACATTGCAGGAGGGGTCCCGGATGGCGAGAGGGCCGTTCCCAGGTGACACACCCCAGAATTGGGCTCCCTCCTTTCTGGTTCCGGGTGCGTCACCAGAGAACCACAGCTGCCAAGTCACCTCAGTAAAAAGAAAGACCTCTGTATTAGAGAACATATTTGGAAATGATACATCTGATAAAAGGCTAATATCCAAAAACTATAAGGAATTCATACAACTTAAAAAAGGAAGACAAATAATCCAATAAAAAAAATGGGCAAAGGACTTAGACATATCTTCAAAGAGGACATAGAGATGACCAAAGACATGAAAAAATGCTCAAAGTCACTAATCATACAAGAGATGCAAATCAAAGTGACAATGAGGTACCATCTCACCCCTGTCAGAATGGCTACCATCAACAAATGAGCAGTGCGGGTGAGGATGCAGAGAAAAGGGAACTCTAGTGCACTGCTGGTGGGAATGCAGGCTGGTGCAGCCACTGTGGAAAAACAGTATGAAGTTTCCTCAAAAAATTAAAGATGAATCTCCATTTGACCCAGTGATCCCACTTCTAGGGATATGTCCTAAGAAACCCAAAGCAGCAATCAGAAAGAATGTATGCACCCCTATGTTCATACAGCACAATTTACAATAGCTGAGATCTGGAAACAGCCCAAGTGCCCTTCAGTAGATGAATGGATAAAAAAGCTTCGTACATTTATACCATGGAATACTATGCAGCAGTAAAAAAGAAGAATCTCTTACCCTTTGAGACACCATGGAGGGACCTGGAGAGTATCATGCTAAGTGAAATAAGTCAGTCAGAGAAAGACAAGCATCACATGATCACACTCATGTATGGAATCTAAATAACAAGATAAACTGATGAACAGAGTGGATCCAGAGACATGGAAGCATGGAACAGAGTGCAGAATCTCAGAGGAAAGGTGGGAGGTAATAAACCAAATACCTTGAATGCATATATGCATAACTCACAGACACAGATAATAATGACGGTCTGGAGCGGGGGTGGGCTGGAAGGGCTCAATAGGGGGACATACATAATAATTTCAATAAATAATTATTTTTAAAAAATTATAGGACATATCATAACAAATAAATACATATATAAAATAGAGGCTTTGGGTCTCCAGAGCTGTGTGCTCCTGCCATTCCCAGGTGAATGTGGTGTGTTCTGTGGCAGCCAGATGAGCTCGGGCCCAGCCTGTTACCTTGAACTGCTCAGATGACTAAACAGCAACACAGAGTCCTCCAGTGCCAAAAGGGAAGCACGAAGGCATTCCGCAGGTGAACTGTGAGGCCCCGTGCTGCCTGTGCTGACAGTGCAAGAAGGGCCACAGTGTGCGGTGGCCTCTGAAGCCAGGAAAGGCAGGGAACTCTCTTGAGCCTCCAAGGGAACGAGGCCCTGCAAACACCTTGATTTTAGCTCAGTGAGGCCCGTGTTGGACTTGTGGCTTGTACAGTAGAACCGTGACCTATGGAAATCTGTGTTGTTTTAAGACACCAAAAGGAAAAGAGAGCGAGGAGAAAATTAGAAAAACTCAGCCTAATCAAATGGAACAGAAGAAACCTCTGGGAAAATAGATATTTATATTTTAAGTTATTATTATGCAAATCTTCAGATGCACAAGAGTACATTCAATTTCCTTAAAACACACACACACACACACACACACAATTAATTCCAATAATTCCAACTGGAAACAATATTTCACGTGTTTGAACAGCTGCTCTGCTTCCTAGGAAGGAAAACCCCACACAGGGACTGCAGAGGGCCACCGCCATGCCTGTGGGCCAGAAGCCTTCCCAGGAACCGCGCCCTCCGGGTGAAGGTGAAAACCTCTGCACCCCTGCCCGGCGGGAGGAGCCCCTGGACAGCGGGAGGAGCCCTGTGAAGTCCTACGCTCTAACCACTCCCCTCAGAGTGCCAGCAGTTCCGCAGCAGGGCAGGCAGGAGGCCTGGGGCAGCCCCAGGAGTGGCCTACACTCCGCAGACTGGGCATTTTCCCCCCAGCGAGGTACACCCAGGGCGGAGACGGGGACAGGGATGCCTGACACTAAGTGCAGTGGGGGCTAATTGCCCAGGCATGCCTGCTGGCCTCTAAAAGCCTAGGATCACCTAATTATGCTATATATGATTCTGGAATGGCTGATCATTTTAGAAGGATTTTATATACAGGACAAAAAAAAATGACAATTAACATGGTAACAACAGAATCTGCTAGATATAAAAAAACCAAAATATGAAAAGGCCTCCCTCCGATGAGGGAGGGGAAGGGAGCCATTGAGGTGACGCAAGCTGACTCTCCTAGGGGTATTCGGACACCAGGACACCATGGAAGCATGGGCAGCTCCTCAAATGAAAATAACAGAGTGTTGCTTTTGTGCCTGCAGACATCCTTGTCTTCACTAAAAGATCCTGAAGTTAAAGGGCCCAAATCCTTCTGAATATTTAAGACTATCATAAACCTGCGTCCTTTATAATCTCCCATGGCCCAGACTCTTCCCTCAGACCCACTTACCCCTCAGTCTTCCTGCTTTATTCCTATCAGCCTTCCAGATCTGACTCAGGGTGAACTCCATATTCCCTGACTCAGGGCAGACCTTGATGGTGCTTACAGAGGGCCCCTCCCACCAGTCGGCCCAGGAGAGCGTAGGTGACAGGCAGACTTGGAAGGCTTCACTGAACACGAAGAAAGCACATGAGATGATTTCTAAAATTCAGATGGTACTAAGCTTAACCAAAACAACTGACCATAGAATTCCATTTAGCAGTAAGATGCCTGGTACATTCTAATATGGATATGTTTACAAACATCCAATTTATTAAAATCTTGACACTCCTGCTAACTTTTAATCTGTATTTTCTTTAAACACCATGCCATGGTGTGTGTGAGGGAAATCATGCAGTCCTGCTAGAAAACCGAGTGTCATCAGGACCAATTCAATGGGGAAAGCAAAAACCCTAATAATCCTGGCCACTTTAAATAATGTCTCTCTATCCATACACATACACATACATACACACACCCACACACATACACACACATCCTACACATGAGGGTATTTATCTACACACTTTTGACTGGGAAAAAACCCACAATGAGATATGTTGGCCCACAAAAAGGGCTATCACCTTATATTGCTAAATCTACCCAAAACACTGGAAAACAGCATCGGCCTTATCCTGTTACAGCAGCAAGTGCACATGGCCGTTACAGTAATCTGTCCTTGTCTGTTCATAAAAACAAAATTAACACACCGAATAAATGAAGTGCTGGATGCTTCAAGACAGGCTTCAAAATATTTTAACGGGGTCCCGTTTCTTCCCCCCCCCTTTTTTTTTGAGCAGTATTGAGGTTTTTTATTTTAGCTCAAAAGTTTATATTGCTACATACCTAAATTAAACTTGAAGACATATATATTTTCTATCTCCAAGGATACATAAATTCTGTTTAATTAAGAAGCAAATGTTTAAGATCTAAT